TGGAGGTAAAACACATCTCAGATGCTCTGTGAGTGAGATGAAGCCGTATTTCAAAGTGGCTCAGAACATGACCAAGGGCTTGGGTTCAAATCTAGGCTCTGTCTCCTAGAAGTGAATTACTCTTGGAACTTTGGTTTTCTAGATCTGTAAAACTATAGTAATACAAATTCATAGAAACAGAAAGTAGAATAGTGGTTGCCAGGACCTGGGGGGAGGGAGAAATGAGGAATTGTTTAATGAATATAAAGGTCCAGTTTGCAAAATGAAAAGAGTTCTGGGGATTAGTTGCACAATAACGTGAATGTACTTAACCCTACTGAACTGTGCACTTAAAAATGGCTAATGTTATGTGTGTTTTACTACAATTAAAAAAAAAGAGTATAGTAATGGTAACCTGGTTCATGGGGTCAGAAGGCTAGTTGAGAACGGTCAATGTAAAGTGCTACACTTGGTAATAACAACAGCCAACGTTTACTAAGCAGTCACTATGTGCCAGGCATGATTCTCAGTGCTGTGCTTGTATTAACTAAATAAGTCCTCACAACAACCCTTTGTGCTAGGAGCTATTATTACCACTATTTTACAGAGAAAAATGGAAGCATGGAGAAGTTATATAATGTGCCCAAGATGCCCAGCTAGTAAATGCTCAATGATTAATAGATATTACTGTCACAGTCACACAAAGAAGTATATATATATATTTTCTAAATTCTTTTTTTATTATTATTTTTTGATTTCCCCCAAATTCATGTTGAAACATACAAAGAAATATTAATGGGATCATCCTCATCATGGTGGAACACAATGTGTGCTGTGACAGTTTCACACTGCCGTGGGAGTTCTGAGGAACTATCTCATGTTGCCAGGGGACCAGAGACTTTACAGAAGATGGGCATCTGAGGTGATGCCTTGAAGAGTGGGTAAGATTTGGACCGGGCTGGGGAGAAGAAAGCAGAATAGGCAGTCACAAGTGGGAAAGTCGCTGGGTATTCAAACACAGGGCAAATCTCTTCCTGAGGCTGGAGCACAAGATGAGCCACCAAAGCCAAGCCAGGCAGAGCTGGAGAGTCCAGTGGAGCACAGAAATAAAAGCCTCCCGGCCCCTCACAAAAAAGGCAGAGGGCAGATGCAGCTTTCAAAGTCAAACCAAGGAATTGGATTTTATTTAATAGCTGGTGGAACCTACTCAAGGTGATTGGGGGGATGATGCTCAGAGCCAGCAGGGTAGATGAGGGAAGGCAGGGAGAGAGTGCTTTGACCTGGGAGAACAGTAGAAGGCCTTTGTGCCAGTCCTAGGAAGAAAAAAACCTGAAAGGCCATGTTGACAGTGATGACAATGGAAAGACGGGTCAACCAAGGGAGGGACTGTACAACGGGTAACCAGCAGAGAGGACAAGGGAACAGGGTCACAGATGGTTCTCAGGAATGAACTAGTTGACAGAAATAGAAAAGGCAGAAGAGGTGACTTAAAGAAAAGATGTGAGGTCAGTTTCGGATTAATTGTGTTGAAAGGGCTGGTGGGGTACTTGGGAGGAGTATCCAAATAGTCACTTGGTAACGTAAGTCTTGAGACAAAGAAAAATCGGAGCTAATGACAGAGATTTGGCAGTCTGGATGAGATTACTGAGAAAGACTTATTCTCTGGAGCAGCAGTCCCCAACCTTTCTGGCACCAGGGACGGGTTTCATGGAAGACAATTTTTCCACAGACTGGGGAATGGGGTTGAGGAGATGGTTTGGGGATGATTCAAGCGCATTGCATTTATCATGCAGTCAAACCTCTCTGCTAATGATGGTCTGTATTTGCAGCCGCTCCCCAGGGCCAGCATCACCGCCTCAGCTCCACCTCAGATCATAAGAAGTGAACAGCCTAGATCCCTCACATGTGCTCCTATGAGGATCTAAGGCCACCGTAGATCTGACAGGAGGCGGAGCTTATGCGGTGATGTGAGTGATGGGGAGCGGCTGTAAATACAGATGAAGCTTTGTCCACTCACATGCAGCTTACCTCCTGCTGCGTGGCCCAGTTCCTCAGACTCCAGCTGGGGTCTGCAGACCACAGCTCCATAGTATTTTAGGTTCCTGGAACCATCTTTTTTTTTTTTTGAGACAAAGTCTCACTGTGTTGCCTGGGCTAGAGTGCTGTGGCATCATCCTGGCTCACAGCAACCTCAAACTCCTGGGCTCAAGCGATCCTCCTGCCTCAGCCTCCCGAGTAGCTGGGATGACAGGCATGCGCCACCATGCCCGGCTAATTTTTTTCTATATATTTTTAGTTGTCCAATTAATTTCTTTCTATTTTTGGTAGAGACGGGGTCTCGCTCTTGCTCAGGCTGATCTTGAACTCCTGGGCTCAAACAATCCACCCGCCTCTGCCTCTCAGAGAGCTAGGATTACAGGCGTGAGCCACCATGCCCGCCCTTCCTGGAGCCTTTTGAAAACATCTTGTAAATTGGTCATAGGATTTTGCATGGACTTTTGAAATTTTCAAGGTCTTTTGGCCATAACATTCCAGTGAGACCTCTCCTCCATCCCAAGCATGTTGCCTGTCTGTTTTACAACACCTCTTTTTCCTCCTGTAAGGTAACCATGTCCCCTCTCCTAGGAAGCCTTCCTGGGTGGCAGAAGGTAATGCTAACTCACTTGTGTGTAGCTCACACCCTCTTCATCTCTGACATGAAGGAGGAGGTGGGGTTAAACCATGTGTTCTAGCCAACAGCACTTGGAGACACTCTGTGACAAGGAGCACAGCATGCCAGGAAGGACTCAGAGGCCAGTGTGGCTGTAACAAAGTGTGGGTGCGAGGCAGAGGCCTTGCCAAGAGTAGTGGGGGGAAATGGAAGGTTTTAATGGGGGATGGTAGAGTGGGGGACTCTAACGTGATCAGATTTGCAATTTTGAAAAGCCTACGCCGGTCTGTCTCGTGGACAGCGTGAATTGGAGTGGATCCAGTATGGACGCAGGGAGGCTCGTGGGCAGGGTATGGCCACCTGCTGATGAACAGTCTGTAGCCTGTTCACGCTCTTCTGTGTCCTTTTGTGAATACAGACGTATACTGTATAGATGTGTAGACTTGAGCTGACTCGTTCTCCTGCTGTTTAATCTGACTCATCTCCTTTGTAAACAGTAAGGTTATTGAGGGTGGAGATCCAGTTTTGTTCTTTGCCTATGACACAGGGAACACAACAGATATTCAGACTACTGACGATCGCCCCAGGGTGCCACCTTTAAAAAATCCACCCCAAAGTAACCTTTCTTGACCTCCTTAATGGACAGTGGTTTCTAGTTTGTTCTTCTTTTGGTTTCTAGACATTTGGAGGGAGGATTAGATAATGCAGAGAAAGATCTGGACATCTAAGCCCTTACTACTCACAGTGTGGTCTGTGGACCAGGAGCACTGGCATCACCTGGGTGCTTGTTAGAAATGAAAACTCTCAGGCCCCACCCCAGACCCGCTGAATCAGAATCTGCATTTCAGCACAAACCCCAGGGGATTCCTACCCGTGTTGAAGCTTAACAAGCACCTGGGTTTCTAAGCAACATTCCCCTGCACTTCTGTGGATAGTATTTGTACCTCAAATGTGGCATGCATCACATCCCATCTGGTGTGGAGTCTGTGCCTGTGGTTGCTTTCCCTGCCAGGCTGTGACCTCCTAGAAGGTAGGGGCTGAGCGTGTGAATAGCTCTGGCTCTTTTACAGCACCGAGCTCAGTGACAGGAAGCAGACCTCGGTTCCAGTCCCCATTCCATCTATGACCTCTCTGTGTTGTATCATTTGTGAGCAGATTTTCAATCTTTCCAAGGGACTCACCCCAAATCTAACCGTTCAGTAGAAGATGGTGGCAGGCGTCTGTACCTAGTTTATTTACGGGCTTCATCTACTGGAGAAGGCACGCGATGGGTGGAAGGAGGAAGACGGTTACCAACTCCAAAGTGGACGATGCCCAGGGTATATCAGGAATTTGGGCTGTAGTTGCCCCAACTGCTGCTGTAAGGCTTTTCCAGATGTTTCCAGTTTTGCCTAAAGTTCCTATTAGCATCAAAAGCAAGCCAATATCATCATGAGAGAAGCATGACAAGGTCTCTGTGCTCTGCAAATGTCTTCTGAAGCTCAGGCCACAGATGGGGTAGTGAGGAACACATTGCTAGGGCCTGGGCAGATTCTGAGGCTCAGGAAGGGTACACAGGGACATGGAAGTCAGGGGTACTGCTGTAATCTTCACTCAGAAAGCCTGAGCTCAGCCCGGGTGCGGTGGCTCACGCCTGTAATCCTAGCACTCTGGGAGGCTGAGGCGGGAGGATTGCTTGAGCTTTGGAGTTAGAGACCAGCCTGAGCAAAAGCGAGACCCCATCTCCACTAAAAAACAGAAAAATTAGCCAGGTGTGGTGGTACGCGCCTGTAGTCCCAGCTACTTGGGAGGCTGAGGCAGAAGGATTGCTTGAGCCCAGGAGTTTGAGGTTGCAGTGAGCTATGATGATGCTACTGCACTGTACCTGGGGCAACAGAGCCAGACTCTGTCTCACACACACAAAAAAAGCCTAAGCTAAAGATCTATCCCCCACCCAGAGGGACCCGGCCTAGAGTCCTCAAAGGCCCCACAGCCAGCTGTGGAGAGGGAATAGCAGGGAGTTTGGGAAGAGATGAGCAAAGAGTAGGGAAGAAACATTTCTACATGGTGCGGAAGTAACACCTGCTGAAGCCAAACCATTTATCAACCATTGTGCACGTGCAACTCTGGGGTGGGGGTGGGGTTAGATCCGTGTTGATCTGGTATTTGTCAATTCAGAAAAGGCTGGGACCTTCGGATGGGAGGGAAGGAACTGGAAGTGAAGGTCTGCCAGCCCACTGTCTAAAACATGACACCTCGGGTCCTCGGCCCTGAGGTGTTTCTACAAGAGGTTTGTCAATACAGATTCTTAGGATCATACTCCATTAGGCTCCCCCAATAGCCAGTTGTTATTAATAGCTGCTTATTAATTTGCAGAAGAATTCTTCCTCTTATCCCTACTACTCCACTCAGAGTTCAGTATTTTTCTTCATTTTAGTCTTTATTTTTTCTCAATTCAGACAGTGTAGTGCTTTCTCTTCATTCTCCTGCACCGTGTTCACGGCAATGCTGGCCGCTGTTCCGTCAGCAGAACTACGAAAGCAAAAGGCAACAGAATGTGAGATGTTTGTCTGCATCACCCAAGGAGGCTGTGGGGGAACGTGAAAAAGGGGGGCGGGTCTGGAGCTACACAGAGTCCAGATTCCAGCTCTGCCATTATTAGCTGTGTGACGGTGACCAAATCACTCACCTGTAAAATGCAAGCATCACGCCTCGAATTGTATCAGGTAATAAATGAATAGTAATCATGTCAGGCATGTGGTGGGCTCTCAATTTATGGTTGAGAACATCACTGTGACTATTATTCATCACTTGGTTAGACTTTAGGTCTCCCACATGGCAACTGTCACTATCTGAAAATGTCAGAAGCTGTGTAGTTGCCTCCTCTGCTGAGTCCTGTCTCTCCAAGTAATAGCAAGGAAGGAGGAGGAGCAGGGTTTAGAGAATGCAGAATGTCCTTTTCCCGACAGTAACAATCACAAGGGCTACCATTAATTGAGCATTTACTCTGTGCTGGGCAGTATTAATGTGTGTTAACTCATTCCATCCTTACAATCACCCTATGAAGTAGGCACTAGTATCAGTCTCATTTTTATAGGTAAGGAAGCAGCTCAGAGAAGTTAAATGACTTGCCCAAACTCCCAAAATACTAGTAACTAACACACTGAAAATAGTAAGAATAGTGGTTTTCATGTATCAGGCATGTCTGTGCTTAGGGCTTTTGTTGTATGGTTGTACAAGTCGTTGACTGCACAAAAGAGCCTAGCCAAAGGGGCAAGTTGGGTGGAAACTCAGGCTATGCTGTTTGCTCTGTAGCCTGGCACAAGCCTATGTGTTCCTGGAGGAAGGGACATCTTTTTCTAATTCGACAAAGATGGCATATGAGCCGTCAGAGGCCTTGTTAATGCATTATGTGTATTACCCTCTCTAATCCTCAAAACAGCTCTGTGGGCTAGACATTTTTTTTTATTTCAGCATATTATGGGGGTACAGACGTTTAGGTTACGTATGTTGCCCTTGCCGCCCTTCCCCCCTCCCCCCGAAGTCCGAGTTTCAAATATGTCCATCCTTTGGGTGGTGCACCTTGCACTTTTTTTTTTTTTATTATTCCAGGGTATTGTGAGGGTACATGTGGGCTAGATATTAATACCCCCATTTTACAGATAAGGAAACCCAGGCATAGTGCATTTAGGTCACTTAGCTAAGTCACTGTGAAAAGGGGTAAAGCTAGGATTTCAGCCTGTGCCAAAGCCCATGCTCTAAACCACTAGGTCACTATGCTAACTCCATCCCTAAGTGATTGCAAAGTGAATGAAGAAAAAATATATAATCATCTGGCTTTTACCTTAAAAAATATGTAAGTTCTATTGAAGCCCCCAGTAAGAAAAATAAATTTGTCTTTCAGTGCTCCAAACTGCGACTTTGTCTTGTTATTTAACTATTTCTAGAGCCCAATTTCCTCATCCAAAAGTGAGAATAATATTATAAAAGGGGGCTAGGTGCGGTGGCTCATGCTTATAATCCCAGAACTTTGGGAGGCTGAGGCAGGAGGATTGCTTGAGTCCAGGAGTTCGAGACCAGCCTGGGCAATACAGCAAGACCCCATTTCTACAAAAACATTTTAAAAAGCAGCTTGGTGTGGTAGCGCATGCCTGTAGTCCTAGCTACTCTGGCGTCTGAGGCAGAAGGGTCACTTAAGCCCAAGAGTTCAAAGCTGCAGTGAGTTATGATGGTACCACTGTACTCCTGCATGAGCAACAGAGCTAGCTAGACCCTGTCTCTAAAAAAAAAAAAAAAAAAATCTATCTCTATAGATATATATAAATATATATAAAATCTATATATATCTATATATATTATAAAGGAACAGTTCTTGCAGTTGTTTGCAATGTGTGTGCAGACGTAATAATCCTCACATCAACCCTGGGAGGAAGGCATTATCATTACCCTTTTGCTCAAGGACGCAAGTGACGTGCTTAGAGTCACACAGTGAGTGGGGCAGAATGGGACCTGAAATCAGGGCTCTCCACTTGATGTTGGACCCTTTTCTACGTGTCTTAGTACTTTTAGGACACCTGCAGCCTGCCTGGTGGCCCAGACATCACAAGGGCACGTGCAAGTCAGATGGCAACTGGAAACTGACATAAGTCACATGACCAGAAGACGACCTGGCAGGGAGGAACACTCTGGGAGGAGTCTCTGCTTGGCTCCATGCCCCAAAACAAAACCTCTGCCTTTACAGGAGCTGGGCCATTACCTTGGGCATTATAAGGCTTTTCCAGAGCTGCCTTAGATGACCTGGTGGCATTAGGGGGCAACGCCCCTCTGACAAGGTTCAGCCTTCCTGTCTCTCATCCCTGGCTGTGGCCAGGTTCAAAGGAAATACCAGCTGTGAAAGCACTTTGCAAAGAGGCGTAGCCCAAATGCAGAGTGTTATTGTTTTTCCTCCCCTCTGTGGATCTCAGGAAGCCAATTCCAACTGTGCTGAAATGACAGACTTGCCTATACTGTGACAAAATGTGGGCTGCTGCCCCCACACCAGTTTGGTGCCCTTCCAAAATTAAAACACGCACACTCTCTCCTCACCTCCCCAACAACCACCCACCACTGCCTATGGCTCTGCAGGCCTACTCTGTGCAGGCTGGCAAGCCCCCAGCCCCACGCACGAGGCCTCTTCTGGGCTGTGGGTATACTACTCCTCATGCGGGGCAGGGTCTGTGGTTGACAGGGGACGGGGAAAGACACAGGCACACAGACCTTCCAGCGATTGCCACATTCATTGCATAAGACAAAGGTAGTCATGGGCTCATCAGCGCTCCTTGTTTGCACCTGAGAGAGAGAAAAGACCCACTCATGAAATCATTTCCCTGCTCTAGCACCTGCTATGGCTCCCACTGTCTTTAGGAGTAGGTCCAAATCCCACAGGTTGGCACCGATATTCCCACCCCACCTTGGCAATTCGCTTCGCTTATCACTGAGAACTCGGTAATGTACACTTTCCTCTCTGGCAGTCCATCAGCTCACTCCCAGTATCTCACTGGCTTAACTTGACCTTTGCACATTCACTCTTGTTGATCCTTTGCAATTGATCTCTCTTGCCTCAAAACTCATCTTCTACGGGAAGTGTTCTCTAACTCACCCTGAACACACCCTGCTGGACAGACTCACTGTCAGAACTCGAGTGAGCTGGAAGCTCCTTAGAGATCATCTGGTTCATCATCCTTACTTTATGCGTGCAAGAACTGAGGCCCTGAGAGAAAAGGCACTTGAGGATCACAGGGACTACTTAATAAAGTGTTTTCTAGCTTCTCATCGCCCTCACCTCATCATTCAGGTATAGGAACTGGATTTCTCACAGCAAAGCCCTGGCATGACCACATTTAACAGCTGCTGTTCTGATTTTCCAAGGCCAGCCCTGGTTGGCCGTGACATGTAGCAAGTCATTACTGTGCTGACATTCAGCTCTGAATGCTGTCAGCTGGGAATCTGTGGTGTGGGAGGAACCACTCCCACCTTCCACTAATGAGTGAGCCCAGCAGCCTGCCATGAAGACACAGCCTTGTCACTGCAAAGCGGTGACACCTGAGAAAGGGTATCAGTGCGGCTTCTCTGTGGGAGAGACACTGGCTAATGGGCAGTTGACTCTGGAAGGAGGCAGGGCACAGGAAGCACATCACTCCGCATGGAACCGTGCTTGGCTGGGAGAGAGCAGGAACGTGCACAAACATCCCTGAATCAGAATTCTCCCAGGGAGGCCTCCACCATGGCAAGGCTGTATTTCTGCTGCAGCCACAGCAAGCAGAGGGAGGAATGAATAGAGCTCTAGAATGACTAGACAACAATTAGAATCCAAGAATATTGGCGCTCCAGGGGCATACCATGTGCAATTTTCTGAAAATTATAGGAAACAGGAGGCCACTATCTGGTTTTAAGGGAAGGAGCCCTCATGGCTTCTGAGGCTCCCCATCCCAGGGCAGTGGTCTCCACCCTTAGGACTCAGGACTAGCCCCTTAGGCTTTACTGACCGAGTTAGCTGGGCTGCAGGCAGAAGGGTCTGAATCTGGGTTTATTACTATCTCTGCCACTGGCCTGCTCTGCCACCTTGGGCAAAGCTGCAAAGCCCGTCTACCCCTTATCTGGGCCTCAGTTTCCCTGTGTGTAGAGCAAGGGAGCTGAGTTTCACATGGCTAAGTTCTCTTCGAACCATCTGTGACTCTACAGCAATTCTGTGCTCTGTGAGTCTGGCTCTTCTTAGTCCCACTTCAGGGCAGGCCAGAACACACTGGCCAAGCCTCACAGACACATAGCTGGGTGATTCCAAAGTCAGGAGAACATTTTCTAGCTACAGGTGCACAGGTTCGTGTACCAAGGCTTGCCCTTCTCTCTGCAGCCTGCGGAGTTTTAGCCCTTGTTCCCCTCTGGCTCTTCCCTAAGCTTCTCTCGGTTCCTCACCTCCATGCCCCTGTGGCCTCCTCCACCGCACTGTCCCTACCTGGTTGTAGGTGCAGTTCTTCTTCTTGCATTTGCTGCACTGGAAGAGGTCAGTGGTGGTGCCGCCAGTCTTGGCCATCTGGTGCTCACGGATGGCCTCCTGGGTCATGGCGTTCCTCAATTCCCTCAGCTCGTCACTGGCCATTTCCTGGAGAGAAACAAGTCTGCCCTTCAGAGTTCGGGAGCCCCAGGGGCCCTGCTCCACACCCAGTTTCTAGAGAGCTTGAACAGAGGAGGAGGGAACATGCTGGATTGAGTGGCAGGAGATGGAGGGAGGCCTGGCCTCCTGGTCCTGCCCCGGCTGGAAGAAAGCTGTACCTGAAGAGTCCTCATTCCACCCATGGCTGGAAGGTCAAACCTAGGGGCTCTGGCTGGGCCCAGGTGAGTAAGGCACGTCCAGGATAGCGGCAGGCAGACAGCCTCTGCCCAGGATCAGCACTCTGCGCACGCGCCTTCAGATCTGGTGCTCGCCCTGCTGCCAAGACCTTGGCCCGAAACCTCCTGCTTGACCTGGCTCGACCACTGCCCACCTGATCTGTGATGCTCCCCTTATCCTTCCAGTCTGGCCTTGACCCAATGCCCATTTGAGCTGTGATCCCTGCCCAGCCATCTGCTTAGTGGGAACTTTGTCTCAACTCTCCACGACTTGCCGCTGCTACCCCCACCTCAGCAGAACCCTGCAGCTCCTGGGCTCACACACACTGCTCACCTGTGAGCATGCACTGCAGAACATGTCTCCTGCCTCCCGCCAGCTCGCTGTCGACGTTCCGTGTCTGATTACCCAGGCCCTTCCCTTTCATCTCCCTGGCCCTTTGACTCCCCTTAAGCCTCTGCCAGAGGAGAGCAGAGAGGGGGACGCTCAAATTGGAGAGACTCTAGTTAAGGGTTGGCGGGCAGGGAGGAGGATGGCTAAAGCCACCGTTAAAATGAGGATTTCGTCTGGCTAAACATTTCAATTGTTGCTGTCTGTCCTGACTCCTTAAACCACGGAGAACAGTGTTGGCACAAAGGTCAAATCGCTTTAGAGTGCTGACCTTGCATTATAATCACTTAGACTGCTTGATAAAATGCAGATTCTCACGAACGGGAAAGGTTAAGAGCAGGCCCAGGAATATGCATTTTTATTAGTGCCCCCAAGTTATCCTGGTGCACGCTAACGTTTAAGTCCTAGCATGCTAAATTCGAGGGCTAGGTCCTAACCAATGGCAGAGGTATGTTAGTAAAACAAGTCAACTGAAGGCCATGTAAATAAAAAGCAGCTGACTGTAATCTGGGGGTGAGGAGATTTTCCTGAGCACAATGCATTCGTTCACTCAACATTTATTGGATGCTAATTTATTGAATGCCTTTAACTGCAATGGTGTGCTGGTAAGCCGGCTTTGCCTGTGGGGGTGCCTGCTCTGTAGCATTTGTCAACTTGCACGGTATAAATGCTCCCACTATGGCCAATTTCAAGCTACTGATGTGATATAACTGAAAGCAGAATTGGGAAGAGCTACGCGTAATCAGCTCTCTTGAGCTGGCGGGAGCAGGCTCAAGCACACCACTGCCTCTGAGCCCAAAGGGTTCGGATATGAAGACTTGGTTCCTGCCCCCGGGTTTTACAAGCATTTACACAGGACCACAAGAGAGGGAAGGACGTGCTAAAGCAAAGGCCTACAGGTGCAGGGGAAAGCACAGAGGACGGTGGCTAGGTGTTTGGGGTTAGCGTGGGTCATGAAGAAGCTAATACCCTAACCAGTCTTGAAAGACAGGAGTTCCCAAGGAGGAGGGCACATTCCAGACAAATAGAGTAGCAGGTGCAAAAGATCACAGGACAAGAATAGCAAGTCTGGGGAAGAGTATTCGAGGTGGGTTCAAGCTGAGGAGCGTGGGAGAACGCGGCTGGAGATCAGATTGTGGAAGGAGGGTCTTGGGTGCCAGCTAAGAGACAGAACAGAGAAGTCTATCCATTCACCCACCAACCCATTCACCCATCTCTGCCCTGCCTCATTTAGACTGAGGCAGCATCAAAGACACATGGAGTAAGTGCGAGCATATGGAAAATAAGGTGAAAAATGAGGGAAATGAGAGTAGGGGGTGACCCGGATCTTCGTGTTGTGTAACTGGTAGGGAAGGACACCAGCTGTGAACTCGACGCACGCTCGTTGAGCCCTGCGATGCGCCAGGCACTGTTGTCAGCGCTGGGCGGACAGTGAACGGACAAGAGCCCCCTCCTCACGGGGCCCCCTCACTCAACAGCGCTAATAGATATCTCAGACACGTCTGGGTAGGGAGGGAAAGAGAGAAGGGGGAAGAATGAAGGAGTCAGGTGAAGAAGGAAAGATATAAAAAGAGAGTGGGGTATAGGGATGCGGAGGGGCATCCATCCACCTCTGCCCCGTGGGCTGCCGTCTGCCTCCGGAGCCGCAGCACGGCGGGCAGCCCGATCCCCAGCTGCGCTTTTTCCTTCTGGACCAAAAACTGTCCTGTATTTTTTATAGAAACTTCCTGCCTGGGGCAAAAAGTGAGCCAGGATGAAGGTCTCCTTGGTGTTCACGTGTTGAAATCCTAACCCCAGGAGGTGAGGTCTTTGGGTGGCGATTAAGTCATGAGGGTGAGGGCAGAGCCCTTAGGCATGAAACTCGTGCCCTCCTACTAAGGGCCTGAGAAAGACCCCTTACTCCTTCCGCCACGTGCAGTTACGGTGAGAAGATGGCTGTCCAGGAGGAAGTGGGCCCTCGCCAGACACTAAAGCCCAAATCTGACAGCGCCCTGATCTCGGACTGTCCAGCCGACAGAACTGTGAGAAATAAATGGCTGTTGTTTATAAGCCGCCCGGTCTGTGGCATTTTTGTTTAGCAACCTGAACTGGCACGCTGCAAAGCCGAGCCGCAGTTATAACTCCGGGCATACGTTGCTATTTGCCTGAAAAGATCAGATACTTTAGACAGAAAGATAACCCTGGCCCACCTGTGCCAAGGTCCCCATTTTACCTAAAGCCAGGGCTCTTTGTTGTTTATTTTTGGTATTTAAGGAAAGCAGTGACCCTCTCCTCAGAAAAATGTACATACACTACGTAACACACACACACACACACACACATGCAAAACACTGAACACACCTCACACATCATGCACACTCCACACACATACACCAAAGTTCACATGGTATATACACCGCACACACGTGTATATACCACACACAGTCCACGCATACACGCCGCACACACACTCCACACGCCGTACACGCCGCACAATTAATGCGTGTCCATTGCTGTGCTGGGATCCTGCGGTCCAGAGCGCCGTGGGAGGCTGGGCTGGCTCCGGGTGAGAAGCTCCCTGGCTCAGTCTGCCGAGTCACAGCCACCGCCTCTCAGACCCCGCACAGCGGGAGGGCCTGGGCTCCCTGCACCCCCTCACCTCTGCGGTCATCTTGGCAATGAGCCCCGCGGAGATGGCCCCGCTGAGCACATTCCGCCTCAGGCCGGGGTTCCTGGGGTCCTTGAGGTTGCTGATTCGGCTGCGCACGCGGTTCCGGTACTTCATGTCCGTGCTCTTGAGCTCTTGGTAGATATGTGACATGGTCAAGGGCCAGCCAGCCGCTCGTGGAGGGCCACAGGATGCGAGCCTTGCCCTGAAGCCCAAGGAGCCCCAGGGCCGTCTCTTCCTCTCCCTGGACTTCTACAGGGGTCAGGACCCTTTGTGACCTCTGACCCCCCAAGTGGGCCCTCACTTGGGTACATGGGGTCAGCCGAGTATCACAGACGGGAAACAACCTCTGAGGTAAGATCAGATCGTAGCAAGCACTGTGGCATCAGGAACCCCGGGAACAGGCACCCTGGGTTTGCCGGAACCTCTTGTGTGAGCTCGGGTGAGTCACATGACCTCTCTGTGCCTCAGTTTCCTTGTTTATAAAACACAGGGCTGTGACGAGGATTCAGTGAGCTAAGCCACATGATGCACTAGCTTGGTGTCTGGGACACATCAAGTGCGCAACATTTACAGGCCATTAGGATGATGACAATGATGAAGATAACACCTAGTTGGGAAGGGTCCCTCCCTGGAGGTTGCGAGTCCAGCTGTCAGAGGAAAAGATTAAGAGCCACGTGTTTAAGGCTCTAAGAAGTGTGGTACTGAAGAAATCATTGAGCTTTGTTTAATTTGGTGTTCCCAGTATATTTGATCATATAGCCCTGCCCCTCCCCCTTTCCCCTAGAATACCTAGGACCGTCCATCCCACAGAACCCATGCTGGGAAGGGCTGGGCAGAGTTACTTCTCCCAGTAATAGATGAGGCAGCTGAGGCTTAGAAAGGGTGCGGGCCCTTGCTCAAGGTCACAGGGCAAATTCCCGGCAGAGACTGGGCTGGAAGCCAGACCCCCTCCCAAAGGTAATGCTCTCCCCACTCATCCCGCAGGAAGTCACCCCTGGCCACCGACCACAGTGAGTTCCTGTCCAAACACTCCATCCCAGACAGGCCTCCCTCACCCCCAGGCAGGCGTCCGAGCCTCCCACTCCTCCACCCTCTGGAGGAGCGCAGGGAACACAGCCTCATTCTCTTGGTCTCCCGAGCCAAGCAGAATCGGGAAGACAAAGCCGCTGCTGGGAAAAACCATACACAAGAGAGAGAACGTGGGAAATGGAAAGAGATGACTTGCTAGAAGTGGTAGGAAGGAAGGTGGTATTATTTCTTTTTTCTGTTGTTGTTGTTTTAAGGTTGTTTGTCCAATAAAAGCGTGAAAAGCAAAGAGTGTGCCGCAATGCATGTGAAAACCAAAAAATGTGTTCAAAAACACGTGTTCATTCGGGATTCCTGGAGTGTGTTGCTGTGTGGGGAGAGCAGGCTGGCGATATTTTCATCAGCCTCTTCCTGAGGTCTCCATTTCCCGAGACCACAGCAGATGCGGGGTCACCAAGCCCTCGGAGGAGGTCACGCATGCCCCAAGGCTGCAATGTCAGAACAGAATTGCTCCAAAGAGGACGGATCTTTTTTGGGACGGATCTTTTTTGGGACACGGCAGTCAAGCCCCCAGATTTATCGTCCCCCTTGACCTCCCGGCAGCTAAGAACAAAGAGCGAAGGAGCTTGATGCAGCTTTCATTTCCTCTCCTTTAGAAGAGGGACGTTCCTTCATGGAGGACGTGAGTGAGGAGGCAAGGCCAGGTGTGGAATTATGCACTAGACCACCCACTTTTGTTTCAAACTGGGCTTGAAGGCAGATGGGGCTGCTTGAAGGGACTACTGTTCAGGAGAAAATGACAATCAAGTTTGGGATAGTCCTAATACTTTGTGCTCTGTGTTCCTGAATTAATAAGAAATCACGAAAATGTACTTTCTGAGGTGTTGGGTGGCGCAGGACTTGCTGAGGTATTGCTGATGCATCATTAAATGATGGTGGACGGAAACGACCAGAAAGTGTTGCAGGGTGTCAGGGTGGCCTCCGGCAGGAGATGGAAACGGCCACATTTGTTGTCTGCAGATTGGCCCCAGCTCTCCCGCACAGACCCAGCTGAGCTCCCAGCTAGAACCCAGGAGACCTCAAAAGGGTCACACGCACCTCGGCGTGACACTTAGACTCTGTCCCCTGATTCTGTTCCCCTCCCTCCACACCTCTTTATCTCTGACATGCAAACCTTTGTCTCCAGTGAAAGAAATTCCATGATTTCATTCAGTGGGGGTGCAGTGGGGAGGGAGTTTTTTCTCCTGAGCCTAAGATCTCTTGGTGTGGTGGATCTATATCACGGTGACGGTCACCTCCTCTGTCTATAGAAGGCCCCTTTCAGATGAGAAGAGGGTGGAGGGGTACACGGAAAGGGTTCACTATATGGAATTCAAAGACCAAGGTTTCCAGTCCAGCTCTGACACCCAGTAGTTCCCAAGCCTCAGTTTCCTCATCTGCAAAATGGGAACAACAGCCCCTGCCTCACAGAGATTGCTGTGATGTTAACAGAGATAGGAAGTGTCAGCTGCCCAGCACAGTGCCTGGTGTATATTTGAGAGTAAAAAATGGGAGCTGTTAACATCAGAGGATGGAAGAGGGGAGAGGCTGAGCGTGAGAAATGCTATCTGTTCTGTCTACTCTGAGCCAGGAGGCAACGACTTGATCAACGGAGACACACTGTGATATGGCCTGTCTGGCACAGCTGTTGAGTCCTCAGGTTTTAGAGTCATACTTTCCGGGTTCAAATCCCAGCTCTGCCACTACTCTTAGCTATATGAGCTTTGGCAAGTGACTTAACCTCTCTGAGCCTCAGCGACCTCACCTATAAAACTGGAGAGATCAGGGGACCTACCTTTTGGAGTTGTTCTCAACTCTGAATGGGGTACTGCTCATTTTCAGGTTTTGCTAGCAGGTGTGAAACGTAATAATAAATGTTAGCTAGGATTAAGAGCTCTAATTCAGGGGCAGAGCGGGGGCTGTTCCCAGAGCCCTTCCCGCTCCCCTCTGCCCTCCCCCACTGTCCCAGGTCCCTTGCACTCGGCAGGTCTGCTGCTGGACAGTCCAGGCACCCATAGACCTGGCACAGTTCAAGGATATGGTCTTCGATTTCTGATGCCATCTTGTCACAGTTGACTCCATAGTCCTTGTAATCGTCTAAGGGAGATTAGGAAATACAGGCATCAGCCAGATGCAACCTTGGCAATGAAGCCTGCTTGTACTTCAGGACTACCGTGCTCCTGAAGCAGCCCCAGGGCGCTGAGAAAAATGGAACCTCACCTGCCCTTGGTGCGAGCGAAAAGGGACCCTTTCCCTCCCCCGTCCCAGGCCCAGGCCCTCTCACCGTCTGCCTTCAGGGCTGCTGACAGCATCTCCACACACTTGTCCCGGACAGAGTCCCCTGTGAGATAGCAGGGCGCCAGGAGGCAGATGGAGGGGGCAAACGTGGGGGTCGAGGGGCTGCTGGGGGTCTTGGGGGTCTCCGCTTTCGATTTGCTGCTGTTTGATCTGAGGACGACAGTAATAGACATTTTGATAATGCAGATAAAGCATTTATTGAGCACCGTTCTAGATGTTTTTCTGAACGACTCCTTTAATCCTCATAACAACCCTATGACGTAGGTACTATTTTAGGCACTTGCCATGGATCATCTCATTTAATCCTCATAACAACCCCTTGAGGTCAACACTATTCTTAACCCCATTTGAGAGATGCATTTTAAAGTGTATCACAGAGAAAGAGGTCTTTAAGGGTGCACTTGATTCAGGTCACACAACAGCAAACCTGTAGAAACAGAATTCAGACCCAAGCAGTTGAACTCCAGTACCCAGTGTCTTAACCGTACTGTAACACCACCAATAATTATATTGCAATCTTATGCGCTGTGCTAGCTGCTCTCTCTATATGCTCTCATAAACATGTGAACCATTTATTTACTCATTCAATGAGTAAATATTTATTTATTTATTTTTAAAATTTTATTTTATTTTATTTTGTAGAGACGGGGGTCTCACTATGTTGCCCAGGCTGGTCTTGAACTCCTGGCCTCAAGTGATCCTCCCTCCTTGGCCTCCCAAAGTGCTGGGATTACAGGTGTGAGCCACTGTGCCCGGCATAGGGAGTTACTGTTTATGGAGTTTCAGACTGGAAAGATGAAACAGTTCATCTGTGGGGTGGATGGCGGTGATGGCTGCAGAACAATGTGAATGTACTTAATACCACTCAACTATACACTGAAAAATGGTTAAAATGGGTAAATATTACGTTATGCTTATTTTACCACAATAAAAAAATCTATACAGTAAGTTCAATGAATAAGAGTAGCCAGGAAGCCTGAAATATACAAGGATAGCTAATTTATTCTATATATTTGGGTAAATCTTAATCCATCTGAAATGATAGAATATCTGTTTTCTTATGCTGTAAATGAAAGGTTAAAATGGCAAATTTTGTTACATCTATTTACCACAATAGAAAAATAGTAAAAAAGAATGAAATACTGATACATGCAACCAAAAACACCAGGCTGAGGCTCAGACTCCAACTGTTACTGACCCGTCCTTGGTCCTTGTGAAGCGGGTACTGGTGACACAGTGACAGGTGTCGCCCAGCATCCCTGCGGTTGCCTGTGCCAACCGGCCTCACGATGCCATGACTTACATGTGGCCCCAGGGAGGTACAAGGGTCACGCTACAGTGCAATTCAGTCCAAAACATTCAGCAAGGGATGGAGAGGCAGAGCTGGCCACTCAGGAGTTGATGGGAGAATGCATTCTTGGCAGAAACACGTGGGAGCGTGGATTCCATAGTTTGCATGGGCAATGTTGAGCGGCTCAGGGCGGCTGGGGCGTGAGGGCGAGGGAGCTTCTGATTGGAGAGAAAGGATCTGGCCAGACTCTGGGGCTTGTGAAGGATGCTAATAACAAAAGCCACCATGTACCATGTGCTCGCTGTCTATTCTTCTTGATAACCCTGGGAGTCATGAGTTACTCGCCCCCTTTTATAGATGAAGGAAGGGAGCCTTGGAGAAGTAAAGGGACTGTGATAGTTGTGCAAGTCCCCCCCTGCCCCCCGGCCCTTTCCAAGCTGTTTCTGCACTGCTCTTGGGGCAGGGGCCAGGCAGTCCGGAAGTTTCTGCTTTCATTCCTCCACGCTTCTCGCCTTCTCTTTCAGTAACACAGCAGGATCTGCCAGCCAGCTCCCACACCTCTGCTCAGAAAAAAACTGATTCATCAGAGTAGAAAAATTAGGGTTCCCTCCTGGAGTGAAATTAAGACTCACTCTAGGGTCTTACTACACTAAGCCCTGCCTTGTGCAAGGGCTCAAAGGGCTGCTGAGTTTCATAATTCCAAGGGGCACCATTCACACCGGTATGTGGGTATCTCCTGGAGTTGTACAGTACACAGCCTGGGCAGCTGTGCTGGGCAGCCTTGGGGCCTGGATCCACAGCTGCTTCTCACGTTCACTTTCAGGCTATAGATGCACCACTTTCTTTCAGGAAGAAGAGGATGCTGGGCTTCTGACAAAGTCTTCCAGGCCCAAGGAGTTGTGTCTGAGAGTGAGGCTGACTGAGTAGCCCAGGCTTCCCAGTATCAAAAACCTGGAGTTACAAGAGAATCCCATCCAACATCCTGCTAGCACTTCTCAGTGTGAACTCTGCCAGTGACCTCCTCGTCTCCCAACTCTTGCAGTCTGGGCTGACCTTGGATCCCCTCTGTCACCACAGACCCTGGACCTCGGGGATTTTTGTGTTCTCTTGGAGCCCTGAGGTTCCTCAAAGGTGAGGTGGGTTGGGGATGGCAGGCTCTGCTCTTATAAGGTTTACATTTTGAATTTCTAAAAATTTTGTCCAAAGGGATTCATTTCCTAGTTTTTATTTATTTTTAATGCAGTTTGAAACTTACTGTCCCAGACTAACTTAGCCTCGATTCTACCCAACCCTGCCTGACAACTGGGTGGCCTGGCAGCAGGGCAGGGGGACAGGGAAGCTGAGATCTAAGCAGATCTGTCTGGGAGAGTCAGATTTCAGCAGGAGGGAAAGGTCTGGGCGAGGAACGGCTGGGAAGGATATGAACTGGGGGGCTGCGTGAATGGATCTCCCTGCCCCAAGCCTGGTCCTGGCCACGGGAGTCCCGTCTGCACAGTCACGACAGCCCCAAAGCTGTTTTCTCCCTTCCTCTTGCCCCTTTTCAATTCATCTGCCACAAGGCAGACAGAGGGACCTCTCAAAAATTCACAGCTGATCAAGTCACTCCCCTCTTTTGACCAATTATTTCCAGCATAAAGTCAAATCCTCACCATGGCCTCACCAAATCCTCCATGCCTGGCCCCTGCCCCACCCCTTCTGACTTAACCTCATGCCATGCTCCCCCCATGGCTCGCTGAAGCCCCCCATTTTACAAATCTCTCTTCCTTAAACACACGCATCCTTCCCACGGCTGTGCCTTTGCCCTGGCTGGTCCCTCCTCCTGCAATGCTCTTCCTCCTCCTGGTCTCAGCTCACATGCCACGTCCTGAGGGAGGCCCTCCCTGGCCACCTCGGCCAAGGCAGTCTGTCCCTGTCCCTGCCCCATGACTCTCTAGGACATCACCTGATTTCTTTCCTCTCCAGCACTTACCAAACCAAGTCTGTAATTAACTTGTTTATGTGTTTATAAACATCGTCTGCCTCCATCTCCAGATTACAGACTCCAGAGCATGGGGACCCTGCCGCTGGTTCAGCACTGCATGCCAGCACCGCTGACGGCGCTCTGGGTAGGCCCTCGAAACAGCTTTGTTGAATGAGTAAGTGAGTGAATGAATACACGATGAATTGAGGGACTGATCACAAAGAGATAAAAGGCACACTTAGGGGGTCCAGACAGAGCTGAGTTGTGGGGACAGGAAGGGCCTCTTTGGAAGGTCAGTGGCCCCACTCTCTGGGGGCTCTGTCTCTGAGCCAGCATCTGTCCACTCCCATGACTGCAGCCAACCCCTCTCCTGCAGCTGGGCGGTGCCTCACTGACCTGTGTGCCCTGTCACACATCCTCAGCGGCTGTGACTCGCCAGAAGAAAACCGCTGGGGGAGGCTATCGCGTGCCGCTTTAAAGGAGGCATAGCAAACAGCAGTAATAACAGTGGTCGTTTCTGGAATGCCTACACTGAAGTGAGATATTCATTAAGAACCCAGGCTCCAGGGCCAAACTCCCAGGTTCAAAGCCTGATACCAGTACTTTGTAGCTATGTGACCTTGGGTGAGTTCCTCAACCGCTAGGTGCCTCAGTTTTCTCACAAGTAAAATGGGAATAACAGTTGTACCCATCTCATGGGGTTGCTAAAAGGATTAAAGCACCTAAGAGAATTCCAGTGACAAAGCATTAGGCGTTTACATAGATAAACACACTGCATGTTTTACTACGAAGTATTATGCATTTATTGAGCACTTACATGGTTTGGGAACAATGCCAGGCATCTCACCGCCTTGTTTGATTCTCACAACGACCTTCAGAAGAGGCTGTCATTATCCCCATTTTACAAATCACTAGACTGAGGCTCAGAGAGCTGAACTGACTTGTCTGAGGTCATCCATCCAACTAGCAAACGCTGGAGTCAGACCACAAACCTGTCTGTCTGACTTTCCAATTCTTTTTGACACAATTCACTGTGTCTCTAAAAGAGAGTTTTCCAGAGTCCTCTTACCTGAGCGAGGCTAGGCTGCTTGGAGCACTTTTTCCTACCTTCCTGGCAGGGCACACCCAGCCCCGGTCCCTCCTGCTTGGCCAGGAGCTGGCTGGCTGGCTGGAGTTTGTGTCTGGGCGGCATTTCGGGCAAACACGCTCATTTTGCTTTCAATGCACACGACTGGGAACTGCGCCAAATTGCAGAGAGGGAATCATTGGCCAGGGTGGGGCTGGGGGGTTGGATTTATCAGCAATTTCCTTCTGCTCCCTAGACGTGCCAGCGCCAACCTTTAGACAATCCTCCTGCCCCAGGTCTGAGCGGAGGTATCTGGAGGCCCGGCTCGCTGCTCCTGAGCGCCACCTCGAGGGAACTTCAGTTACTGCACCGGCAAACCTCAAATAATTCTGACAGCCCAGGTTAGGGACAGCTCATAGGTAACATGCAACCTTCTTCCCTGTCATCATGGTGGCCTTGGTGGTCTGTTTTCTGGCACTCCAGCTACAGTTCCCAGAGCATCACGCTCACCCTCACCGCCACACCTTTGCATGTGCCATTCTCTCTGCTTGAGATGCCTCTCCTGGCTTGTCTGCCAAACTCTTATTCATCTGTCAATCCTCATCTCGAATCCTCTCTTCCATGAAGTCTCCCTTGGCTTCATATTGAGACCCTCTTCCTACGTTCCCATTGTGTGTTACGTCTACCCCCTTCTAAAAACAAGCATTTCGGCGTCTGCCTCTGCGCTAGCGGTTAGCTCCGTGAAGGCAGAGATCATGGGTTTCAATCTTTGCCTGGCCTAACAGGTCACAAACGGGGGGACTACAAATTAGTTTTGTCTGCCCTGTGTCATAGAAAAATATCACTATGTTGCTGATATTTAAAATTGGGAATTTCATATGAAAATCTAGACGTCTGGCTTTTCTTTACAAAATTGGAAGACATGGAACACTTGGCCTGCATTTCCACACAGCAACGTCAGCTGGGGCTGGGTGGGGCTGCCCGCTTCAGGCAGGCATGGCTCTCTGGTTTGCCGTGGTCTCCGCCAGTCAGCCGGTGTGCGCATACGCCCTTGACCCCCGGAGGATGCTGAGTTTGCAAGGAGGTGCTCAACAGGTGTGCTTGCCAAGTGAATGCGTGAAGGAATGGAAGCGGAAAGTGCAATACAGAGGGGAAGAGTGCAGGAAACAGTCTGGGAAGGAGATAAGTTTACGAGACTTGCTGTGTCCCTCTTGGTTGCTCACCCCCAGCACTGAACCATCAGGAAGTGGCACAACCACTGGAAGGACAGACATTCTGTCTAACTGACCTTCAGAAAGAGAATGCATTACGGGAAGGAGCCAGGAGGCTTCAAGGCCACGAAGGCAAAGTCAGGAGAGGAGTCTGGAGGTATAAACCCCGACACAGATGCTGACTGTTTTTATCACAGCATCAAACCCAGAACTGACTAGTGGTCAGTGTTTCATCTTGGGATAGGACAATGCTTCATTATGCAGGGCTGTCCTTCAGGTTCTAGGACACTTACCATCTCTGGCTCCTGCCACTAAATGTCAGCAGTGTCCCCCCCGTTTCCACCCCTTAGCTGGACCCAAGTCACAGTGACAACCAAACGGGACTCCACAAATTTCTAAATGACCCCTGTTGAGAACCACTGGTCTAGAAGAAGGATGACACTGGCGCCCCATTCTTGGGCCTCACCCACATTGGACATTGCCACTTGACTGCAGAACTCTTTGCCTCAGAGGCAGGCAATGGCCTCAGATGCCCCCCCGCACCAGCACTCCAGAGAGCCTCCACTCATAGCTGGAGCAGGCCCTCGGCTGCCAAGCTTGAAACAACCTAATTTTCCTGTCCCTACTTTTTGTCCCCAATGGTAGTCTTACTGGTACATTAGGCTTAAAATAACTGTGCAGCTCCCACATACTCTCCCAGAAGCCAACACCCTTCCCATCCCACCAGGGTGCCCCAGAATCCAATACGGCCCCTGCATCCTAATCATTCACCTTAATCCGCAGCTAGACCACTTCCTGGCCTGCCCTGCGCTCCCCTGGACCTCTGGCCTCCGTCCTGGACCACACTGCGCACTCACTCTCTTATCCACCATCTCTCCTTGGCGATCTCATCCCGGTTCTGTGGACGCCAGCTACACACTGATGACACTGCCATTTATATTTCCAGCCCAGACTTTCTTCCTGAACTCCAGCCTCGTATAATCCAACTGCCAATTCTCCTTCTCCACCTGAATGACTAACACACGCCTCGAATCCAACACATCCAAACCTGAACTCTTGATAACTCCAGCCCAAGCCCGACTTACGCAAGCACAGTCTGCCCCAAGCCAACTAGCATCAACTCCATCCTCGCAGACGCTCAAGTGAAAAATCTTGGAATCATCCTTGACTCCTCTTTTCCCTCATACCCACTTCCAATCTGTCAGGAAATCCTGTCAGTTCTTCCTTCAAAATATATCCCGAAGCCACCACTTCTCCCCACCTCCATGGCTCCTCCCCACCTCCATGGCTACCACCCTGGTCTGAGCCACCGTCTCTTGCCTGAATTATCACCGCAGCCTCCTGGCTGGTCGCCCTGCTTCTGACTCTGGCCCCTAAAATCCATTCCGGGCACAGCAGCCGGAGCAATCCTGACAAATTCGGTCACATCCTTCCCACACTCAAGACCCTCCAGTGACTCCTGTTTCCCACACTCTCCCAACCCCTCCCCCTCAATCTGCTCCAGTCCCCAGCCACCCCTCTGTTCACTCCAGGGAATGACTCCAGTATCTGCTTGGCTAACCCCCACACCTCTTTCAAGCTTTTGCCCAAAGGTCACTTCCTTGATGAGGCCCTTCCTGACCACCCCCCGAGCACCCCCTCACTCTCCTCTGTTGTTTTCATAGCACTTGTCACTTTCCAAACCATTGTATGATTTACTTATTACATGTATCACCTGCCTCCCCTGCTAGAATCGAGGCCCCGTGCCTGCAGGGATTTTTGTTTCTTTTGCTCATTTCTGTATCCCTGGCACCTAGAACAGTTTCCAGCATCTAGTAGGCCCTCAATAAATATTTCACGAATAAATGATTCAATGATTTATGCTCCTTTTGGGTAGGCACCCTAACCAGTTCAGCGCAAATCCAGAAAGCCCGCTCCAGGCATAGGCTTTCAAGACCTCCGTCCTCACTGGGTTCAGTCCGACCTTGAGAGTGTTCCCCAGACGGTGACAGGGCAACTGCAACCGCTCTCCAGCCACCCCAGTGGAAGGAGCCATGCTGCCAGTTCAGGGGCTCACTCATTTTTACTGTGTGGGTCCTAGAATTTGGAGGCAACATCATGTAGGAGGTTTCCCCCTTTCTCCCGCCTCTGGCTTCCTCCATTAAAGCAGAGACAGGGACACATGCTAAACAGGACGTTTGGGAGGGAGAAGGCCTGGCTTCCTTTACCTTTCCAATGATGGTCTTCTTGGAGAGGAGGTGGCAGAAGACTTGGAGTCCACAGAGTCTCTCCTGAAATCAGAGAAATTGGTGATGAGACTCTCTCGTAGGTTGGCATCAGGATGGATCCATCCCTGAGAGGGTGGAGGAGAAGACATCCTGGAGAGAGGCCTGCTGGGCTGAGGATAAGGCAGCCCACCTGGAACCCAGATGCCTGGGAGTGGAGCTTGAGGTGGTGCTGGCTGGTCACCCTCACCTACCCTCCACCCGATGAAGCAAGGGCCAAGCATCTAATACATGCCATGTATGTTCCATGTGTTATGTCGTGCAATTACTCATTATTAGTAACTAATTCTCAGCAGGCCCCTCTTCTTGCTGCTAGGCAGGCCTTGGCTTGCTGGAGTCCACGGAGACTGGGTTCCGGGAATTGCCTGTATTCATCCAGAACCAGAGAAACTGAGAGATCAGCTTCAGCCTCTCCAGCAGGCACTTCAGGAGGAGGACAGGAGAAACACATGGGACTTGGAGATAGAAGAGTTGGGCTGAAACAGCAAGTGAAGGCCGGGCACAGTGGCTCACACCTGTAATCCCAGCACTTTGGGAGGCCAAGGTGGGAGGATCCCCTGAGGCCAGGAATTTGAGACCAGCCTGGGCAACATAGTGAGACCTCATCTCTACAAAAAATAATTTTAAAAAAATTAGCTAGGTGTAGTGGCGAGCGCCTGTAGTCCCAGCTACTGGGGAGGATGAGGCAGGAGGATTGCTTGAGCCCAGGAGTTCAAGCCTGCAGTGAGCTATAATCACACCACTGCACTCTCTAGCCTGTGCAGCAGAGCAAGACACCATCTAAAAATAAAAAATAAAAAAAAGCAAATGAAAAAGAGGAGACAAATTAGATGCATACCATGCCTAAAGTAATGCAAGGAAATCAATGCCTAGGAGGAAAAACAGACTGAAAGAAAATATACCCAAATGCTAACCACTGTTATGTTCTCATGATGGGATTAAAGATAAAATCTTTGTTTCCATTTTCCAAAATGCATGTAGCTACATTCTTTTTATGATCTATAATGTAGTTTTTCCTTTTATTGGTTTTATAAAATTAATCTGTAAATTGCAACACTCACTCCATATCTCACTTACCCTGCTCTTTTTTTTTTTTTTTTTTTTTGAGACAGGTCTCACTCTGTCGCCTGGGCTAGAGTGCAGTGGCATCATCATAGGTCACTGCAACCTCCAACTCCTGGATTCAAGCGATCCTCCTGCCTAAGCCTCCCAAGTAGCTGAGACTACAGGTGCACACCACCACACCTGGCTAATTTTTTTTGTATTTTTTGTAGTGATGGGGTCTTGCTATGTTGCCCAGGCTGGTCTCAAACTCCTGGCCCTCAAGCGATCCTCCTGCCTCAGCTTCCCAAAGTGCTAGGATTCCAGGCATGAGCCACCACTCCTCTTGCTCAGGTTGCCACTCTTTTAATTCCATAGCACGTGCTACCTTCTAACATACTATGTAATTTACTTATCATATTTATTATCTGACACTCCCCCCACGTCAATTCCACAAGAGCAGAGTTTGGTGAGGTTTGTTCACACAGTGGACATTGTCTGCAGAGCACATTTCCCTTCGGGCACTCATGCTCTCAATGGTGCGGGACCCAAGGGCTTCCTCCTGCAGTTCCCTGGGACTTCTATCTGGGACTTCTCCCCAGTCCCCCGGGACTTCTCCCCAGAAGTGCTGGGGAGTCACCGACCCCAGGAGCAGCCCTCAACCAGATGCGTGGGAGAGGGGAAGTGAGACCCTCATTCACATGCCCTTCCACTCCCCCTGGGCCCTGGGAGTTCCTCTGCGGGGTTCCTCCCCAGTGCCCCTTCAGAGTGGACAAATGCAGGCAGGACCCCGAAGCCAGAATTCCTGCCCTAGAGGAGGGGAGAGAAGACAGGAGCCTCTAGCCCAGAGAACCACCACCTTCTGGCCCTTCCTCCTTGCTTTTCTTTTTACAATAAATCGGAAATATTCTGTAATTATTGCAAATGATTGTTATGAAAACTATTCAAAAACATGAAAAAATGCTTAGGATATAATAGCAAGATAAATAAAAAGATGACATAATAGTTTGTACATTCTGCCTATAAGAATGGAAAAATTATGTATATAAGTAGACCAGGTCTGGGAGGGAAGAGAAAAAAAATAAAAGCTGCTTCGTCAGATGTGCACAAATAGTTCTCATTCTTATTTTAAATTTCACTTATGTGATTATAGTGTTTGTATAATGAATAATCATCAAGAAGACTAAAATGAAAGGAAGTTCATTAACTGAGCTGAAATAGGACCCCTGCCAATTTGATTCTCCCAGCAGAATGGGGAGACGCCACCTCACTCTCTGTTCAGTCCCAGTGACAGCTTCATTTCAGAGCTCCATGGCTGTGCAAAGTGAGCCAGCATAACAATTTAGCATCCAGGAAAATGTATAGCGCTAGCATAACAATTTAGCGGCCCAGGAAAATGTATACTTCAAATTTTAATAAGAAAATGTAAATGTACATATACATGCTTTTAAAAGACTAGAAAGATACACATCAAAATGTTAACAGTGCTTATTTCTGTTATTTCTTCTTGTGTTTGATTTCCTAAACTTTTTACACTAAATATGGCTTACTATTGAAATGAATAAATATATATATGTGAATAGATTACAAAATAGTATACAGAGTATAATTCCATTGTATTAAAACAAGTGTTTGGCC